TGTTATGTATTTTCATATACATGTCCTCAATATATGTATGTATGTAGCACTAGTCCATAATATTTTTGGCTTTGTCGCGCCAATTATTCACAAGATTTCAATCCCAAAATGTCAATGTCCCCTTTGCGTTAAATTTACACACCTTTCCTTTCAAGGTCACCACAGATGTGAGTTCACATTTCACCACTCATAAGCACTTTCCTAATACACTATTTTTCCAGTTCGCTTCAAATTAATTATTGGTACTGTTCATAAATCAAAGGATTTTCGGGTGGTAACTTCCAAAGTAATATATAATAGTAGTAAAATATTTGATTGATGTTTGTTCTTTAATATTTACTTCAAAATGTTATGATGAAAATATGTAAAGTGGTTTCATTCTCAATGAGGCGAAAATTTCTAACTTTTTAGTAAAAGTCGTCATTTATTATACCATTTTAAGACCAATCTAAGCATTCAATCCATCTGTGATTAATGGTTCTCAATAATGTGTAACCTTCATCTCTAAGCATTTTACGAAATATATTTCTTATAAATAGTCTACAAATTATTCCACCTGCTTCTTCGCCTTTAGTGACTTGTCGTTAACCAATACTGGCTTGATCAAACACGATAATTTTTTTTAGTAAAATAAATTTACTTTTAGGTTGTTTAGTATGTTGAAAATAATTCGAACCTTTTATTTGATACTTTGATCTCCCCAGTTTATCTAACGGAACTAGTATAACAGACTGAGATTCATTTATTATTTTACACTTTAAGGCCGTTATCAATTTTATCACAAAAAGTATGATGTAGTGAAGTGAGATCACGTTTAACATTTGTTTCTATTTACCTATAAGTAATCCAAATGTTAGGGAGAACATAGGTGTGTATATCGGTGTCAAATCTGTAGAAGTAGTTAGTCAAGTAAACAATACTGGTAAGGTTCGTTGGGTTGCACCATGTCACATGCTAACACGAGTCAATAAACCAAATGATATGAGTCCATCTGCCGTTCGTACTACTCGTCTTCAAGTCATAAGAATTAAAGTAAGGTCTTATTATTGCTCGCTTAAGTAATACTTTGAAATAGTTTTTAGTTTAAATAAGAAATCTATGAGACTAAATATCTACATATCTAGTTCGAGAACTATAAATTACCGTTATAATTAGATATTTCTAGAGTTCTTAAATGAATGCATTGAGTATAAAAATTTCAACGTTTAAGCGATTGAACATTTTGTTTACTTGACGCTACACTCACACATAAATGTATGCATACTCGTAAATATTTTAAAGATGCGTAGCAAATTCGAAAGTACGCTAATCATTTCCTACATATGTATGTACTTGTATGTACTTAAAAATAAAATTAGCTAAATCACAGAAAAGCTTTTCATTTTTATTCGCCAGATTTTTGCTAACTTTACTTTTATATTTGTCTCCCAACAGCTACCGGCGCAGTGAGGACTCGATGATCTCTTCAATATGACTTCTAGTTCGAAATCGAAACATCCAGCCAAGGCGATAGCAACTATATGTTCAAATCGAACAAATCGCTGGATGTTGAGGGACTGCACGAGGAGTTGTTGATGGCCTAAATGCGTATATGTAAATATATCAAATATTTAGATGTATGTATGATGTGTATGTATATGTATGTATACATATAAAGCCCCATATATGCAGTGCATGTTATAAAGTAAATAAATATACACATATACATAGTTATGTATGAAGCATTAAAGAAAATGATGAATTAAAAGCGCTCCTCAACGCCCCTCAATTGTTTCGGAAATAACCGTTTGCACTGCAACAACAAATGTAAAGAAACTTTTCTATTCTATTACCAATTAGATATACTTTGGCTAATATGTATTGTAGATGCCACATATTACTCCTTATACTTGTTGTTGTTAGTGGCTGTCCAAATCGTAGCAACGCTCGTGTCACAACCTACCAACCAACTTAAAACGAACAAAATACACACACACACGCATTTAAACAAATGTATTTGTATGTGCTTATTTATATGTAAGATGCATTTACATACCTAAACGGTATGTTTAACCCTTGAAGAACAAACTCGACTTTCGATTATATGCAAAGCAGAAATGTTTATACTTAATAATGGAAAACGAAAAAGTAAAGAAAACAAAAGTGGTGTGAAACCGCAGTTTTAATTAGTGGAAAATATTTAAGTGAAATTGTATTTTATTGAAATTTCATACAGACACCTTGCTATAAAATTTAACTGTTGAAACGATTGGCTTGCAAAATGCTTTGCTTATTTCAGACAAATAATATGCGACGAATAGAAGAGAGTCTTAGAAGTATGTGTGAAAAGAACAGACAGCTTTGTAAGACGTAAATTTGGATGATTTTGAAACATGAATAAGACGTGTCACATTCTACACATCACTTTGGCCAATATGTATGTGGTATGGAGTTACGATATGTATGTATGTATATTTGCATTTTGAATGTCACTATCCATAACATTTATTTTAATGCACATCAAATTTGTGTTATTTAAATATGAATTGCGCTGGACAGTAAAGATTTAGAAGGCAGAGTTAAAGGTAGTTAATATTAAAATCGATAGAAACCTTTTTCAGTGAGTAATTTTCTGAAGTTTGTGTTTTAAAAACTTTTTGTTTAAACGAAAATACATTGACGGCCATTGTTTATGTCGCAAAGTGTGTGATTTGGTATGTGTCCATCTGAAAAGCCAGAACCAGTAATATTTACAACTCCGTTTTAATAGTAAATGCCAAATTATTTGCAAAATGGAAGCACTTATTTGTATACCCAATACATAAATGCAAAGAGGTATTACAATTTTTTTCCATTGATGATTCCCTAAATACCGGGAAAGGTTTAGATTAAAATTAGGCGAAAGCATTAAGTGAGTAATAATTAATAAGTAATAAGTGCAATGAACTCAATATAGAATCACCGTGCTTAACTGTTAGCTGCGTTTACTACATACTGATCTACTTTAACATATCTTTGAAAAGCTTGGGGAGTAGCGAATCGAACACAAACAACTGGTATAAATCAATGTAAGCGGTTATACCACTTTGACAAGATGTTCTCTTGCATCTTGTTATTGTACAATATTTGAAAGTATTTCAATCTGTTAAATTTTCATACATGGTTTTCGGTAAATTGTTCTGTCTATGCATTGGGTATATAAGTTCGGTTTCGACCGAACACAGAATTATGTCCCCGTTTTCTTATTAGTAAATTATTAAGTAAATAACACGGATTCAGTTGATTTTGGGTATTTATATGCATTCAATTTTCTAGCATACGTTTTATAAAAATTAATGTATACAATACTCACTTAATTTTTAAACCAGTCGAAACAAAAATCTTTGCCCCAAAATAATAAGGTTAAGTATTTTGATATAAAGAATATAATACACGTCGAACGGAAATATGTAATTCTAATTCCTTGTTAATTTTAAAAGCTTAAATATAAAATTCTTATATTTGTATTTTTTAGATCTTTCGGACAACTTTTCAGCTTTCACCTAAATGGGCAAAAATGAAATTATAAAATTATATAAATATAACTTCAATATGAATTACTTAAAGCTTATTCAATTAATATTTTAAAACGTAGTATAACTCTTTAGATCAATTAAAAAACATGTAATGGAAAACGCCATTTTTTTGAACTTCTTTTAAAAATCAATTGATCTCTAGAGATAAAACCTCCAAAAATATGTTACAGAAGCGAATTTCAGTCAAAAATTATTATTTTATTCTATAGCTATATTATAGCCCCACCGATTCATAAGAACTTTTTGGCCCTACAAACTTACTCTAGAACTTAATTTTCTGGTATTTTCTCACCTGCTCACTGGGCGGCTATAAGTAGACAATGCAGGACTGGCTGGATTGTTGCTATTGTTGCTTTCATTGTCCTCACTCTCCTTATTTGTATTGCTACTATTGTAGAGATCGCAGTTGTCCAAATAATCGTTTCGTAAATAGGTGTCGAGTTCGTTTTCGTTCTCATCATTGTCAGCATAGTCTTGTTCATTGTCTTGATCTTGCTGCGATTCAACCATACAAAGCCACTGTGAATTGTGATTGCGGAACTTTTCAAGCTAAAAAAGCATATATATAATGAATGAAAATTACTGCTGTTGCTTTTCACTTAAAATCAATGTATCATTTAGATAAGGTTTTTCGTCTCTATTTTCTAATTCAACTCTTGAAAATGCATTGCATAGTAAATTCAACTCACCTTGATCCGTTTGGCCCACTCACTGTCACTGATAGCGATGATGTCGAGGCAATAATCGCAGACTTTACGTATCTCGGCATTCTTGTCGTGCATCAAATCGATTAGATATGCCGGTGATTCAGTCTCTTTGATCATATATTCGCGTGTGCTTTCGTGTCGTAAAATCTGTTGGAATACGAAAATGATCTGTAAGACAATTTCGTCGTCTTCTTGTTTGGCCTTCAGCAGCTCGATCAACGAGAGCACAACCTTAGCGCGACAGAACAGCAACGCACATAGTTCGTCATGCGCACAGGTACCCAAATAAACGATTGTATCGAGTACCATATCGTCCAATTTGGCACCGGGCACAAGCACATCCCTTATCCAGGGTATTAGTTGGAAGTTCTGCAATATTTGTGAGTAATCCAAATCGGCTAGTGAGAGATTACCGAGTATACCAAGACATTCCACCACAAACGATTCATCCTCGCAAACTGTGAGTATGCGCGCCAGATCGCCAACATAGTCAATAAATTTTGATTGCAACAATTCATGTTGTGAAAGATTTCGTAGCAGTTTCATTAGTAGTGAGTCCTGATATTTGAAAGCACGATCCATTAGATCATGCAGCCGATTGCCTTCGACCATGATTTGTGCATTACGTTTGTTCAGCGATAGATTGATGCAGAGCGCGATGAGATCGAGATCCACCTTGCTATTCAGATTGAGTATTATGGCATCGGTGGCCATTTGAACACACTCAGTGTGTGTGAATAAGCCTTTAACCTGAAACGGTAATACGTTTATATATATTAATATATATTTGATATAAAATATAAACTCCGACACCACTCACCCAGTCATCTAAGCTCATGTGATAGAGTATCTTCATTGCGATGCCGTGGTGTTTCTCATCATTGATGAACATCACAAGCTTTGGCAGGTAACCAGCACCGACCATTTTTCGTCGCAACACACCATCAAATGATAAATTAAACACCAGTTTCAGTGTTACTTGCGCCAAATCGGTGTGACCACTTTGGAATAGGCGTGGCAATTTGGCAATGACATTGAACTCACCCATATCATCTTTATTGTCACGTACGATAGATAACTTTTTCAGAAATGTTGTCACCAACATTAAAAGATCGATATTTTGTCTATCCAATGTTTTGACGAGCATCTTTACGATGTGCTTGCGTCGCATCTTTTCCTCCAATTTAATATTCTCGGCCATATTAAGTAGCAAGTAGAAAGCAACACGCAGTAGTTGCTCTTGTTTCTTAGCAAATACCTTTAACTGCTTATTCAAACGATCGATCTCTTCTTTCTTCACCTTAGGATCGTTGCGATCGAGCGCTTCATTGCTGGTCGCTTTCATGTCACCGTTCGATGAAATGCCAGAGTCAGGGGTGGCAGCACCGGTCGAAAGAGCCTCATGGTAACTACTGTTGAGTACTTGACTTTTCATTAATGAGGAAGTCATTGAACCGTGGAAACTAGACCAATTTCCAGATTTGGGACGTTGTTTGAGTTCGGGTATGCGGCGACGTGGTGGTTCCATCTGCGTGCAAAGTTACATTTTATTGTTGTGATTTTAGATATATTTTTTTTAATGGTATCGCCGATTTAACTTACTTCTTTTGGTTTTTCCTCATTCATTATATCGAGGAAATCATCAGTGCTGCGATTCAGTTTCTCTTTGCTGGATTTAGCCGAAAGTGGTGCAGAGGTAACAGGATTCTTTCTCACGTCCAACTCATTTCGCATTGTTTCATAACGTCGCAGCTCATAGTCTATGACGTCCATGCAGAGGGAACCAATCTGAGTTAAAAAATGATACCGATGAGAATGGAATATTTGTGTTGCATATATAATTTATATGATAATATTTCAATTCACCACTGCTTGAGCATTCATATCTTGTTGAAAGCATCAACTAAGTTGTTGCCTTTGATTTTGTTAGTACAAGTATATTGGGCCTATGCCGGTAATTTTTCGATTCGAGACTCGTTAAATTTTGCAGAATCGATTTTATTTACATCTCATAGAAAACTCTAAGCTAATTCTTTTTGAGAGAAATATGATAGATATGTATGTTGACTTCAGCAGTTTCTTAGGTGTTTAGAAATGTTTTTACCAAGAGGTATTTATTTACCAAGCTTTCTTTCCGTGTTTTTGAAATGACGAAAAGTTCTACCAAGAATTTTCTTTTGAAGGTGTTTCTTATTAGTTGAGAATAACTAAATTTAATTGTAGAGATGCTCTTGAGATTAGAGACATTTGGTACTAAATGAACTACAAATGAAGCTTATAGAAAAAGCTTTGTTGGATCTCCATGCAAATTTTATGTTAATAACAATATTTAAACGTATTGTACTCACCTTATATTGTACAATAACGGGATGAAATTTCGTATAAGTTGAGAAACAGAAAAATATATATATTATATTTGTGGATAGATCTAAACTCTTGCGCCAATCCTCTCGCAATACGCGCGATAAAGCGCTCAGACAAGCCTCTAAAGTGCCAGAAAAAAATTTAAACAATTTTTCAAAGTCAAACTTATGAATCTTATAAACAAACCATTTTTTTCCAGCTCTTCCAGATTATCTGGGTTGCGTGCCACTTGCAGGATCATTGCTGAACCACGTATTCGTTCACTTAAGTCCTCATACAACAACTCCACGTATTCATCAATATTATTGATGGAGACGTCTGCATTGCTAGCTGGTGTTTTAGCGGGTGAAAGAACAGCAGAGGCTGGGTTCGCTTTGGTGGCCGGTGTACGCTTTCCCGATACAGCCGACCGATGCTGGCTGTTATTGTCAGCGATGTCTAAAGAAACATTGGTGATACGTTGAATGGAAGCTATATTAGCACGTATATATAATATATGTAAACTCTCACCTGCACCAGCATTGTCTTTTCGATTTTTCAGATAGAATATTATCTGTTCCACATCCGCCAATTGGGATTTGTGTATGAGATCACATTTGTCCACGACTTCTCGCGCCAATGCGGCCGGATCCGTCTTCGCGTTCAACGAACGTAAGCGTATAATTTTCTGACAATTCTGTAAATACGGAAATTTGGACATATAATATTTCGTTCAATAATTACAATACTGAACAATTACTAAATGCATGTATACTACAATATTATTAATTTACAACTAAAAAGGCAAAATAGCTTTGGTTCATTGGCACCACAAAGCCACCTCAAAGTGACCGTGGTCATTATGGTGAAGGTCAAGTTTATGTGTAATTAATGGAGCGAAAATATATCAATAATTTATGAATTTGCATATGTATCTGTGTGTAATGGACAACTAGATTTAAGTATGTGTATTAGTACTAGTTTCTGTTTGACCCCAAGGAATGCGTTTATATTTTATTCAAACAGCTACTAGAACTTTAGAACTAAAAATATTGCCTTTTAAACACGATTTATTTTCGAATTTCAAATTTCTGCATATATCTTACGTATTCTTAAAATTAAAACTGTTAAACTAATCAGGATGTAATAAAATTCCAAATAAATGTCGTTCTAAAGGCTGTTTTCAAATTTCGATATGAATTTAACACCTGTTTTATTTGAAAACAATTATATTTGAAAAAGTTTCCGAAAAGTAATTAATATTCATATGTAGTTTAAAATTGAATTAAAATTATTTGAATTTTATATGACAACTGATGATATCGGCCGTTAGTGTTAGAAGGTTGAATAGTCGACTTGTTTGTAATAGTCACTTAAGCTAATGGGTTTTCTACCTTGTACCTAGTGCAACCACTTACAGTCTAAACCTACAATCACCCCTCAAAGTTCTACAATCTTATGCGATGACATATGCGATGCACACACATACCAGCTAAAATATATTTATTTGATTTGGGGCAATCAATCGGTTAGAAACCAGCTCAAGTACGAGAGAGAATTACATACGCCACAATATTTACTTTGTTTGCATTTTATTATCGACGTTGGACTGGAATTTATTTTTTTCTTCTAACAAACTATGCATAAACCTCTCGTATGCACAAAATGTTAAATAAATTACCATAAAAGAATTTGTGCTGTGAAATAAGAATCCTCATATAATACGTAATAAATGGCATTGAAATATTTTAGGGTTTTCTTCATGTGAATTATATTGTATGGTTTGATTTTTATTCACACTATAAAAATGAATTGTTATGCTGTGATTTATTTTTGTATTTGTGCCGTTAATGCGTCCATGCGGCAAGGTTAAAATTTTACGAAAGTTGTTTGCAAGAACAACAGTCCTTCCTTGTTTTTCATGACTGTCACCTCTTTGCGAGATCAAGGCTGAAACACCTGGGATCGCACAGATTCGGCCTTCCAGAAAAACTAGTTTTAATGAATTAAAACGCCGAAGTACATTGCGATAACCTATAACTTTTGCCAGGATCCTACAACTTTTAAGATACCTGCGAATGGCTGACAATTTTAATTAAATTTTATTTTTTATGGCAGAAATATTTTCCGAGGAACAATATTGGCTTGTGAGAAGCGATTGCAATTCTAATAAACTTTTTTGATGCTCGTGGGAGACTTAGTTTGAACGCAGGTTATGTTTGCAGATAGAACCAACTCCCATCACTAGACCCATTTTATTCAATTTGTTAATAGGAATTCAGAAAATTATTTAATAATAATATTAAAGTTTCAGAAAATAAGAAAATTATGACTAATTAAGGATTGACTGTCGACTGCCGACCGAATTCTTCAAAATTATTCGGATAATACAATATTTCCTGCCGCTAACAAGACATTTCATAAGTCTGAAGTTTAAACGCTTATAGCATCTTTATGAAAATATGTTGTCTCTTTCTTAATGATCAATCTGCAAATCAGATTGAAATATGCTTTTTAATAATCAATTTCGAAATCACGATCGTTTTGAGTTCGAAAATACCCGTATTTTGGACAAAAAATACTCTAATGCTCATATTAAGGAAAGTTATGATTTTATCATAGCACTATATGTAGACTGTAGACTGTTTCATAACCTTAACATATCTTGAACTTGATCTATCAATTAAGTCAGCAAATTTCAATACTCGAGAAATATTGATAAAGAGGACAGCACACTAAATATTCACTAATAATTATCAGTTCATTGCAACAGTGGCTCGTGGAGTGCAACGAAATAACCAACTACGCGGTAATGCTTAATGCCTTTCATTGTCGGCTGTCTGCTTCCGAAACATTTTGCTTGATAATCGGCATGACAATAGTGCAGTTGAACTTAAAACTGTCATGCAAAGAAGTCAATGGCACCTAAATGCCCGTCGCATTGGCAAAAACTGTTTTTTGTAGCCACATTTGCATAATATGCAATAAAGTCGCAGCAATAAACAAACACAGCAAAATACATACCGTACATACACATATACATAATTACACTTAGGTCTAAGTGAATAGGCAAGTGAATGGAAGTTTATACGCAGAGATAAAATGATATTCTAGCACGGGGTTTTAGCTATTTTGTGGTATAACGGCAGTCGCGTGCACTGACTCGACGAACTTGTAATTACATTGCCAGATGCATTTGTTACTTAACTGCAATACGTCATGGCAATAAATGGGCGTTGAAAACATAAATAAGTACGTAATTATGTTTTCATATTTACAATATGGAGTAGAGCTTGAGCCATTAGCAAAAAAAGTATGGTTTCAGCTTCTTTTCACTAATATATTTTATGTTGACACCATCAAATACACAAATGCTCCTATTATTTCATTAGATCGGGTAAAAGTTAGTCGGAGAAGAAAATCAAAAAATAAAGTGGGTTCGAATAGAACGAAATATTAAGTACTCCCACAAATTATATAAATTATATATAAAGATCCACAACAAATTACACACATCAGATATACATATATATAAACAACACGCACAAAGCGTATCGATAATTTTTTTTCTAGATTGGTACAACCAACGCCTCGTGCGAGCCGTCTTTCCCCCTCTGTCAATGACGAAAGCAACGAAAAAGTTAAGGAAACAGTGATTGAAAATCGTTGTGTTAGTATCAGAGAGATAACATCTCTTAAATATCGACTCAACACACACCAAAAGATCTGAATCTTTTGTAAAAACGACTTCGAGTAGAGAGAACCCTGCATTTATCAAACGCGTCATGACTGACAAACGCCCTGGTGACCACATATCTATTTATAAATGTAACGTCGAAACTGTCCAACATTAATTGAATGGCACTTCAAAAGTGAGCCAAAATAGTGAGCCATCCCAACTGAGGCTTATATAAAGTATATGAAAATTTGGATTAAGCGTTGGCATGCTTGTATTGGCTCTAAAATACGTGAATATGTATGTTTAAAATTTTTTGTCAGTCCGGTTCAAATTTGATCTGATGGTATATTAACTGATATCATTCATATACCATAATAATAAGTTCGAATGTTGATATATTCAGCGAATGTGAACTAGAACAGGTTATAGAACTTTTTCATCACTTTTTGGTTTGAGAGGTAGACAGTGAAGTTATCTAATTTTACCTATTTCAGAACATGCCAGAAGAGCTTTAAAATATTTAATTTGATCTGGGTATTGAAATGATAAATTCGACTTATAATTATTTTGAACTAATTAGGATATTATACGTATTTAATTCAGCACCGATTTTAATATATTATATATTTGAAATTTAAAAATTTTATCCATAATTAAATTTAATTAATAATAAAATTTTATGAAAAATATTTTTCAATAGCTTTGTTTTTTCCTTTGGACAGCCCTATATTTACCATTTCAAAAGAGCACTTAGCGCATTAAGTACTTCTGTACAAATAACGTTGCTCACATAGCCATATAATAGTTAATATTTAACATACGTATTTACATACTTAACATTCGTTTCTGCTACATGAAAGCACTTACATATAAACAAATTCAATTTAATGCATTTTTATGCGTCAATGAATCAACACAAATCAAGTGATAAATACACAGATTTGTTATTGTGTTTGTAAGAACATATGTATGCATGTGTGCATGCGCATTTAGCATAATGGTTGGACAATTGAAGTGCACTTTACGCGCATTACCCGTAATTCCCGACAATGAAGAGCAGCGGCACCAGCAACTTTTGAAAATCGGTGCGCCGACGCATAGGCTCATTATATTTTCATACATACGAGTACATACAGAAGTGAGTGTGCACGCATAAGTCAATTGTAATTTACAATTTCCGTCAAATGTTGGAGCCACCAAAAAAGGGGTGGCCAACTGCCATTTCAATTTATATAAGCACCATCGCCTTTTGATGGGTCAACGCGTGTAAGGTGAAGATATACATATATATATTTGGTTAAATGAGCGTCTGCATGCAATATATAATATGTTTATTTGCATAAATATTGTTTGGCCATATACAAGACATATGTAATAAGCTCAGAACAGAAAGTGTTCAACTTTTGGTATGTTGCGTTGTCCCTTTATATGTATTTTATATACTAATTTGCACATGTCTATACATTTGTATATGCCTTTTTTTAATGAGTATATCTATGCTACTAAGCCCTGCTTTTTATGTACATTGATATTTATCTACAAAAATTCTTTATAAATGTTCTACGTGATTTTTGAGATTCGCTTTTAACTAAAGTATTAAATTTATAACTTTTTGTTATATAAATATTAAATTAATATTTTTTAATAGTTAAATGAGCGAAATACTGAACTTGTACTTCCAACCTTAGTAGAGGTCATTATTCCATATGCATCCCATGACTCACGTACGAAGTTTAGATAAAGCCATTAGCAGAGATCGACACATGCAAGCATAAGTATTTCCTTAAAGCACGGCAAAATGAATAGTAATCACAAAACCTTGTATATATACATGTATATACATCGAACATAAATATACTTATTGATAATTATGGCGAATCGGTTGCAACAGTTTCTCAGTTCATCCATAAGCTATAAATCATATGACTCTAAACTCGCATTGGTTGATTTTTTAGCAATAATTATTTTTGAATTTTATAAAGCAAAATAGGTCAAGTTAATTTACGCTTTATTAGCAA